TAAGAGATAGTAATTTGGACTAGGGTTAGAAACGAGATAGCATTCAATGCTTGCAGTAGCCTACGTAAGAGATAGTAATTTGGACTAGGGTTAGAAAAGAGATAGCATTCAATGCTTGAGTTCAAGATACATGGAAACCAGAAACGACAGGACTTGCTGAGAGATTACTTGTGTCAGGCACAATAAGACTGAAGGATGACTCCTAGGCTTTTGACGTTTTGGCACTGGTAGGTGAATGATGGTACCATTTACTGAGCTGGGAAAGATTTAAGAAGGGAACAAAAGTTCTTTTGGGGGCATGTGAAGCTTTAAATGCCTATCAAACATCTAAGTGGAGATGAAAAGTGGTTGAATATATGAGTACGGAGTTCAGACATATAACCTAAGAGCTGCATCATCATATACAGTTGAGACTCATTAACAACAGTAGTTATATTCTATAAAGTCACCACAAACAATAAATTAGCAAATAATGAACAACTGCTCCTAGAGGAAATATAGGGTTGGGCTCCTGTGAGTTTTTGGTCACAACATTTTCATCAACAGATCAAAACCTAACCTTACTTTATGTGTGTTTCTTTTTAAAGAAACATTATTTAATATATACTAATGATTCATTAGTGCTGAACTAACAGCCAACAGCACTAACTCATGTCTGATAAAAAATGATCTATATTTTCTTCATCAGGCACATAGTAGCCTTCTTGCGATTAGGAACACTAGACAACACTTCAGCCTACATTTGGGGGCCACTGTAAACAGCGAAATCAACCACAAAAGGCATGAAAATGCAAAAAAAAACAAAAACAAAAACAAAAACAGCTCCAGAAAGACTGTGAAAACAACACTCATTTACAGCATGAGAACTAAAACAAAAAGGCAGAGCATCATCTTACCAGACCTCTGCTGAGAACTGGCATGACAGGTGACTCAAATTTTTCACCCTTCTGTGAAAGACCACAAAAGCACAGTGATTACTGATTTGGAGGTTACAAGAAAACTTCAGCATGTAGGCAAATCCTATATACAGAATCCATGAATAATGAGTACTGACTGTAGATGGAATTTAAAAGCATGGGACAGGATGGAATCAGAAGAAAGAACAGAAAAATGGCAGCAGCAGAGGAGAGAGCCCTGAAGTCCGCCTTTATTTAGAGGCGGTACAGAAGGAAGAACCAGCAAGGGAGACTGGGAAAGAGCAACCAGTGAAGCAGAAGGAGAACCAGGAAGTGTGATGTCACAGAAGTGGAGAGAATGAAGTATATCAAAAATCAGTTAATCGTGCCAGGGCGCCTGGGTGACTCAGTTGGAAGAGCATGTGACTCTTGATCTCGGGGTCGTGAGTTTGGGCCCCACATTGGGTAGAGAAATTACTTAAATAAACTTTAAAAGAAAAAAAAAAGTTAATCATGCCAGATACTAAAACATGGGGCAGGGTAAGGACAGAGACGTGAACACTGGCCCTGGGAAAATATGGACAATCGGGGACTGAACGGCGCTGTCAACAGAGTGACAGAGATGAGAGCCCTATCAGCGCGAGCGGAGAGCAAACGAGACATGAGGGAGATGAGACGGCAAACACCGGCAGCGACGGCAGCAATTCAGAGAAAGAAGAGCTGGGAAGTGGCCTCTCTGGGAAAAGGACAGTTCCAATGGGTGATTTTCTACGACCTTTCCACATGGAGTCATTGTCACTGATGGAGGTAGGAAGTCTGGTGTTGCAGAAGATAAGGAGAGGATTCCGAGCATAAAGTCCTGGGGAAGGTACAAAGGGATGAGATATAAGGCATGAGTGAAGGCAAGTCTTAGAAAAGAACCCTTCCATTTGAACAGGAACAAAAGGCAGTCTGTGAGGATACAAATGCAGGTGGATTGGTTAATTGAGAAGCAGGAAGAGGAGTTACTTTTCTTCTAAATGCATCTATTTTCTCAATTAAGTGCAAGGCAAACATGAGCTGAGAGTCACCATGGAGCGTGTGGTGGAAATTTGAAGAGAGAAGAGAACGTGGGAAGAAAGTGGTAAGGTGAATACAGAAGGAAGTATAGTAGGATTGTCCACCAAAATACTGAGTGCCCATTTGAGATCTGTGGCCTTGAACATGAAACGGTTGTATGATTTTCTCCAACAACCAACCATTCATCATACAACTGGTCACCTCTATCCCAAGTCAAAGAAGTTACAGTCATTTCCTCTCTCAATGGTATATTGATCTTCCTTGCAATATTTAAGCAGGAAATTGGAAACCAAACCATTAAGAACAGCAAATCTGATACTCCCTGGTACTTCTTTGAACATTTTGCCAGAACTTACCCCATTCTCCCATATGCCTTGCTGTATTTTGAATCAATTGCTATTGCTTTCTCACAATCCTTTATTGCATCTGTGTAGTGACCTAATTTACTCTGAGCGGCAGCCCTAAGAGAAAGAGAAGAGATTTTTATTATAGGTAGCCCTCAAGGCACTAATTTAGATTGTCATAAAACTACATTTTCCTTGTCCCAATTTGTGTATCACTGCCAGTAAATATCTAAATCAAACTAAGATAGTTCTATAATCAAACAAAAAGATAATTCAAAAGTAAATCTCAGAGAAAATATGCAGGCTGCCTTTCACCGTTTGCTTTGCTAGAGAAAAGACAAATAAGTGAAGCATACCAGTGATCTACCTACTTATTGCTTTTCTAATTTGCCCAAACAGAAAAATGAAAGCACCAGGACATGTGGGATTACTAAGGAAGTGTGCAGAGAGATGGCTACCCAGTGTTATGCTGTAAAATGGTCACTTTACTAGTAGGGTTAAGATCATTATTGGGCAAATCTAAGATCAAAATTTAACCTAAATCTGGCTGCAAATGAAGGATGGCAATGCATTCCATCCACTTAGCACAGAATCTCAGAGCGATTAAATACTGTTGAATCCTTTCCAGTTACTTCTTTTGTTTATTTTGTTTTTTTTATGTTAATCACCATACATACATCATTAGTGTTTGATGTAGTGTTCCACGATTCATTGTTTGTGCATAACACCCAGTGCTCCGTTCATTACGTGCCCTCCTTAATACCCATCACGAGGCTAACCCATTCCCCCACCCACCTCCCCTCTAGGACCCTCAGTTTGTTTCTCAGAGTCCATAGTCTCTCATAGTTCGTTTCCCCCTCCGATTTCCCCCCCCCCTCCAGTTACTTCTAATGGAACTCTCCTGGAATAACTTGATTCCAGGGTGTGATGGTATAATGAAGCTACTTCCTACTCCTCCACACAATCCTGATAGTAGATAGCCCTCTGTTTCCCTGCTGTCACACTCACTTCAACCCTCAGGGCCATTCTAAACAAGCAAAATGACTGTCCTACATGCAAGCTTCTTCAAACTAAAACATTCCACCATTTCTCCTGCCCTCCATGCCACTCCCACTACTGCTCCATTCACTCTTCTCCAGACTAAATATTTCTACTTATTCATTCAACTAATACATCTATTGAGGTCTAGCTAATACACAGATACTTTTCTAGGCATAGAGCAGTAATCAGAATAATATTCCTGGCCTCAACAGTGCTTAGGTTCCTGGGAGGGGTGGGAGGTAGCTGGCAGGCTATAAAGGAAAGGTGGTGTGGTCAGTCCAGTTTTCTGTCAATTTTTCTTCATAGAGCATGACTGAGACTCTCTTTCCAAATTAAGATTATAAAATATTTTAAAAAAATAAACATACAGTCTCCTTTCTTTCAGTGAAAAAAAATTTAGTGTCAAAGTCCAGAATTCAACAAACCTGATTTGGTAGTTCATATGAAAAAGAGGCATGGGTTTATTTGAACATTCAACACACACTAACCAGCATGAGAAGGATGGCCATTAAAAATGACCATTAAAAGAAGAGATATAGAATGTATCACTTCCAAATAATTAGAAAGAAAAAAAATGAAGTAAAAATAACTCAATACCATAGAAGGCAAAAAATAAAAAATAAAAATAAAGAGCAGGGAAGGGGGAAGGGAGAGGCAGCCAAATAATATCATAGCAGAAAACCAATTCAAACATAAAAGCAACTACAAAGTAACGTAGATAAAAATCAGTTTCTCAAATTGTATGCATACCACCTAAAACATAATCACACACAGGTTAAAGGCTAGAAAAAGATAATCAGGCCAACCGGAAACAAAAAAGCTGATGTAGGAACACAAATATAAAACACGAAGCAAAAAGCACTGTTGAGGATAAAGAGAATCATTATTACCGACATTATTACCGACCATCCTGTCTTGTTTAATTTTATGGAAAACATTTACATGGCTCAGAAATCAAACTTATATGAAAAGTCTCACTCTCATAGATGATGGGTGGGCATGAGGTAGATGGGATAAAAATGGGAATAAGGCTTCAAAAAGGATGAAAAAGCAAACCTTCAAAGTGAGTAAAAGAGAAACAAATGATGCTAACTGTAGATCAAAAAGAATTCAAGTAACTTGCAAGTAGTATTCTGAGTATATATCTTTAATGAGATGGATTCTAAGGAGAAAAGAAATTGTGAAATTTACTTAGTAGGCTGGCTAGTGGCATAATATTGGTATTATACTATCAGCTGAAGAATACTGAAGGGTAGCCCTAATGAGTAAACATACTGGTGGTGTTGGAAAGCAGGATTTTCACTCTGGAAGAAAAGAAATCCACATAAAATGGGGGAAGGTGACAATGGAATACAAATTGAAGGTATCTGTATAAACCGATGATTTTTCAAAAATTATATTTCCTAGCTCTGTTCACTGAAGAAGCAATAACACTTCAGTAGCAATGATCATGTCTTGCGACCAGAACTTGGTTCCTAAATACTATTCTCCAATAACAGGAATAGGGGCTACTTGTAGAAACAGCTGAGCTCAGGTCTAGGGCAAAGTACGTGCAGGACAATTGTGGAATACCTTGCTTTCTCAGGAAGCAAGAAAATGTTCAAAACAAAGTTACATAAAAGGACACACAGCAAGTTTAAAGGGGCTCACACTAGCCAAATATGGGATAAATTTAAGTACCAAAAATAATAATTTTGGCAATTTCTTATAACACATCAAATAGTGATTTTAAAAATTCATTAGTCCATAATGATACTCAAAAAAGTTGGGGTAGGGGAAAGGAGGAGGAAAGTGGAAAGGGGGGGAGTGGAAAGAAAGCTCTTCTTTACAGAAATATGTGAGAAAATAAATGTAAAAGAAATGATAAAATTAGAAAATCACCATTTTGTAACCATCAGTGTTTTAATGATTCAAGGAAAGATCATGAACGTATGGTAAAACATTGAGTAAAAGATTGCTGGGGAATGGAATATTCACACGATCTGACCCTAAAGACAATTTTTAATTATAAAAGGAATAACAGAGATGATGGTCACCACCCTAAGATATCAAACTTAGAATCACCACTAATGGACACTTTGAAATTATGTGCCTCCTATTTTAATGCAATACATGGTACACATAATTATTTATGTGGGCTTAATACCACACTTCAACCTAAAATTAATCATGAGGAAACAATCACACAAATCCAGATTATGGCACATGCTATAAAATCACTGGTTGGAACTCTTCAAAAATGTCTATGTCATAAAAAAATAAATAAAAAACCAGTAACATTTTCTAGATTAAGAGACAAAAGTAACATCTCAAAATGCAACACACAAACACTGGCTCCTGGATCAAAGACATAAGCTACAGAAAGTATTCTAGGGACAAATGAAGAAATGTCAATGCTAATTTTCCTACATGTGAATGGTATAATTATGCAGAGTATATTCTCATTCTTAGGAGATATAACTGAAGGATTTAGGACCAGCAAGAAAATTTTATACACCTACTTCACAAAACCCCCACAGAGAGAAAGAAAAAGAGGAAGTAAACATGGCAAAATGTTAGCTATTTTTGACTCTAAGGTAAGCATATATAGATGTTCATATATTACTCTTTCAGTAAGTTGAAAGAGGTTTTAAATAGTTTTAAATTTATTTTCCTAAATATTTATTATATAACAAATTTACGATATTATTTATAATACGTATTTATGTGTGTGTGTGTATATATATATACTATATATATATGTGTGTGTGTGTATATATATATATATATATATATATATATATATATATATAAAACATGCTGACATATAACTGCTTCACTATTAGAAGTCTTTCAAGTAGAGGCAATTCTCCCTCCTAAAATTCACGGTATCAGTTCAACTCAAACTTTTGTTGAAAACTATAATATGCTAAACCCTGAAATCCAAACCAAATACACAGAGATGAAGAGGATACATCTCTGCCCTCCAATCTTTCACTATCTACTAGAGAAAAACAGATGTAAATAAATAATAGTGTGATAAGTGCAACAATGGAGTCAAAAGAAGTATCAACAAAGTATCAAAGGAAGAGGCAACATGAGAAAAGTATAGTTAACCCTGTGCAGAGCTAAGAGAACTTTCTGTGATAAATAAGTTCTTCATCTGTGTAATCCAGTACAGTAGCCCCTTGTCCACATGTGACGAAAGAGCCCTTGAAATATGCTAGGGCAACTGAGGAACTGAATTTTTTATTTTATTAAGTTTAACTTACATTTGACCAGCCACATGTGGCTAGGGGCTACCATCCTAGACAGCACCACTCCACAGGGCATGGTAGGGAAGGGCGCAAGAGTATGGACAAGAGCTTGGGAAGAGAAAAAATTAAGAAAATCTTTCCAAAAGTAACACCTAGCAGGGTCCTGAACGATGGCTGGCAGTTGACCAGTTAAATAAGGTATGAAACATTCTAGGCAGAGCACATAAAATCATGGAGAGATGTCTCAACATAGTACTCTTAAGAAGTCAGCAAATACCACAGAGATGAAAAGTACAGTACAAGGGAATATAGCCAATAATAATGTTATTATATGGTGACGGTCACCATACTTATCATAGTGAGCATTCAGTAATGTACAGAATTGTTGATCAATATGTTGCCCACCTGAAGCTAATATAGTATTGTATGTTAATTATACTTCAATAAAAATTTAAAAATAAAATAAAGAAGACATTAAAAAAAGAAGTCAGCAAATTTCACATTCTATGTGCATAAAGTAGAAAGAAGAATGGAGTAGGAAGAAGAGTGAAAATAATAAAATTTTAAAAAGTAAAATGACAGGACACCTGGGTGGCTCAGTTGGTTTAAGCGTCTGCCTTTTGGCTCAGGTCATGATCCCGGGGTCCTGGAATAGAGCCACACAATGGGATCCCCGCTCGGCGGAGAACCTGCTTCTCCCTCTCTCTCTGCCTCTCCCCACACTCGTGTTCTCTCTCTCACTCAAATAAATAAATAAATAAATAATCTATTTTTAAAAAAGGAAAAAAATGAATGGCTAATAAAAACAGCCAAATATTTTTTAAATGCCTAGATTATAAA